TTAATACTAAAAAGTCCTATATTACATTTCTTTGTGTGCTCCAAGTGCCAAATTGTAACTTTGAAAAAAAACTTTGTAATTTCGTAGTGTGATTAAAAATTTAATTAAAAGTGTATGTGTATGTGATTAATGAGTTTATTAAAATTTAAGATGCTGAGCGAGATTCGAGGTTATGTAAATTTTTTATGAAGGTGTGGTTGTATCGTGATCATATTATGAAAATATTTGGTAAATCATTAGATGTATATAACGGGTTAAATAATAACACTAATGATATTAAAAATTGCAAGTATATTTTGCGAACATATTTTCAAAACGACTTTGATATACTTTTTTTTCAAAAATGGGTCAAAGAGTTAAAGTTTGAGTTAACAGTTATTTTCTTACATTATTAAAATATATAAAATTACAATATTTTATTAAGCCCTGAACTTCAAAATAATATTTTAATTTTTTTTTATTAATTTCCCGTAGGGTAAGTTTTAGTAATCGCAAAAAAATTGAACATAAGAAATTTTATGTATCCTCATGTTTCAGAGGTTTCTGAACATTTTGAAATACTTTAGGAAAAAATCATGTATGTGTGTGCTAAAATAATATTTACCCAAGAATTGAAAAAAAATATTATTAAAACTAAGTTTTTTTTTATTAATTTCCCGCAGGGTAAGTTATAGTAATCGAAAAAAATCGAACATAACATTTTTCATATATCTTCATGTTTCAGAGGTTTCTGAACATTTTGGCATACTTTAGAATAAATTGATGTATGTGTGTGTGTGCGGATACAAATTTTCGTCAACGATTTCGGGTCGACGGTTCAACCGATTTGAATAATTCAAAAAACATGCAATTACTATTCATAAGAAGACGTGTTGATTAGTTTTTAGCTAAGGCAAGTCCATCCGTTTAGAAGATACGGGGCAAAAAGTGCCAAAATGGTAAATCACTTTTTAAGACAACGGAGGGTCTGATTTCAATAATTCAAAACATATTTTACTTGTTATTAACAAGATGAAAAACTGATCAAATTTTCCTGAAGAAAGGTCTAGCGGTTTCGGAGATCTAGTAAAAAAAGTAAAAAAAAGGCGGTCAAAAATGATCATTAGACATATGCACATCAAATTATCTGATATTTTATAGAGATTTTAACAATAAGTATAAAGGGTATGGGCGTGTTTCCATACAGAATTGGCCCCACCCTGGTATTTAAATAATTTTGATGCCATTTTATAGGTATTTTCGAAAAAATCCGATATACCAAATTTCAAATCCGTAGCTCATCATTTGGCCGAGATATCATTGAAAATGTGTGAAAGTGGCCCCCTTTTTCAAAGTCGTTTTTTGTCGCAACTATGAAAGATATCGACAAACAAATAACGGGACTCTATTTACATTGGTGTGTACTATATTATTGATAACAAATATTGTTTAATAATTATTTTTTAGTGCATGAAAGAGTGATAATAATTTTTTGTTTTGAATTTTCCGGTAGTGCGGTTGTTTGGACTAATTTTTAATTAGCATCATTCGAAAGGCTATTGAATTTTCTTTTAGTGTGCAAAATTTTGTTTTATTTCATGTGGTAGAACACATTCAAAAATAGGAAAAACCAGAGCAAGTATACGCTCGCGCTCATATAGAACCCGTGTAAGTCGTCTCTCATTCGCAATGACTAGCAACAGCATTGCTCGCCGAGCATCGTGAAAAATAAAAACATTTCTAATAAAACACAAGATAATGTATATGTATAATAATAACTATATTTTTATTTAATTAAATATATATTATTTATGTATTGCACAAGTATGTTATATTATTTAATCATCTTTAATAATTAATTAATTAATTATTACCTATTAATTAATTATTAATTATTAATTTATTATTAATTATTAATTAATATTAATTATTAATTATCACTAAATGAATAAAAAATAGATTGATAAAAAATATACATAATAATAGTATATCGGTATATGATTTCTATTCATGCTACAGCAATGTATAGAAATGCAAGTATACTAAGTTAGTCATAAAATATATCAAATAATAACTTGAAGTTTTTTTGTAATTAAATTATATATGAAAATATATTGAATGGAATATCTCTACCTATAAATACTCATAATAACTCTGATTGTCTGATAACAGTAGATTGTTGAACTACTGTACTATTGTGCATAATCCTTAATTAAAACGAAATTTGAAATTTCGCGGCAAAAACCACACATAAGATAACAAAATGCAGACAGCATAAAATTAATATAATTCTGGCATTTAACTAATCACGAAGTTTTCGATAATTATTAAATAAATAATGATTTTTTTTTAATTTTTGTGTGGTGTTTGGGAACTCTACACTTTTATACCAGATTTTGATTTTGCATTTTTCTTATATTTTAGTGGCAATTTAATTTGATTAGTGTATAATTTAGTTATTACCATAATACAATTGATAATGCCGCGAAATCGTTTTAATTAAGGATGATACACAATAGTACAGTAGTTCAACAATTATTATGAGTATTTATAGGTAGAGATATTCTATTCAATATATTTTCATATATAATTTAATTACAAAAAAAACTTCAAGTTATTATTTAATATATTTTATGACTAACTTAGTATACTTGCATTTCTATACATTGCTGTAGCATGAATAGAAATCATATACCGATATACTATTATTATGTATATTTTTTATCAATCTATTTTTTATTCATTTAGTGATAATTAATAATTAATATTAATTAATAATTAATAATAAATTAATAATTAATAATTAATTAATAGGTAATAATTAATTAATTAATTATTAAAGATGATTAAATAATATAACATACTTGTGCAATACATAAATAATATATATTTAATTAAATAAAAATATAGTTATTATTATACATATACATTATCTTGTGTTTTATTAGAAATGTTTTTATTTTTCACGATGCTCGGCGAGCAATGCTGTTGCTAGTCATTGCGAATGAGAGACGACTTACACGGGTTCTATATGAGCGCGAGCGTATACTTGCTCTGGTTTTTCCTATTTTTGAATGTGTTCTACCACATGAAATAAAACAAAATTTTGCACACTAAAAGAAAATTCAATAGCCTTTCGAATGATGCTAATTAAAAATTAGTCCAAAACAACCGCACTACCGGAAAATTCAAAACAAAAAATTATTATCACTCTTTCATGCACTAAAAAATAATTATTAAACAATATTTGTTATCAATAATATAGTACACACCAATGTAAATAGAGTCCCGTTATTTGTTTGTCGATATCTTTCATAGTTGCGACAAAAAACGACTTTGAAAAAGGGGGCCACTTTCACACATTTTCAATGATATCTCGGCCAAATGATGAGCTACGGATTTGAAATTTGGTATATCGGATTTTTTCGAAAATACCTATAAAATGGCATCAAAATTATTTAAATACCAGGGTGGGGCCAATTCTGTATGGAAACACGCCCATACCCTTTTGTTTACATTCCTATGGGTTCCGTACCAATGTTTATCCGTTAGACGGTGAATTTCCTAAATATTTCAAAATAAATTTTTCTTCAGAAAGCCGTTTTTTTCAAAAAAAAGTAAATTTTTGTCAAAAATTTATAGTTTGTCAAAAATCTAATTATTTCAGAGTAATTTTTTTTCAAAAATGTTAATCTTTAAAAAAAAAATTGGTACGGGAATTGCCAGCAATTTGCCTTAAGGCACGATGCACCAATAGTTTTTTTTTTGTATTTTTACAACTGCATCAGCCTCTCATATTGGAGGCTTCTAGGCATGTATGCATAATTCTTTAGGTTATGTAAATTTTTTATGAAGGTGTGGTTGTAGTATATGGTCTCGACCGACAACTTATAAGAGCAAGAAAATAATTTAAAATTCAATTTTCAAACTGTTTCTCATATGAAATCATGTTGACATATTTTCTTATACATATATCACTCTTTTAATTCTCTTAACAGCAATAAAGATACAGTATACTTTATAAGCTATAATAATAAGAAAATGTAAGTTAATAAAGAGAAAGAGTTTATATTTCACTCTATAGAAAAAAGTCTTTTGTTTTATTTGAGATTTCTTGATATAATAAGTTTTTTTTAGTTTTAACAGTTTCTAACTATGTTTTCAGTTTTTGTTACCACTGTATTAAGTTGGTTGATTAAATAATATATCAAATTGATGAATTATAGCAATGATCCCTTTGTGAATTTTTTCTTGTATTGTTACGCTAATATTAATATTGAGACTTCACGAAAATACTTTTATTATTATACTATTTACTATTCGGCGTGCAATCAGGCGTATTTTACATATAAACAAGCAAGGAAGAATCTTATGATAACTGCACCATCTAGAATTCTGTTACCATAACATTCTTCCTTGCTTGTTTATATGTAAAATACGCCTGATCGCACGGCAAATAGTTAGACACTTTTCATAATTTTCAATACCAAGAACAATCATAAAAGAGCGTTGCCATGTCAACACTATTTTATGAGCTCTGTTACGGCAGAATTGCCTCATTGGAATATATAAATACCATTTCAAAGTTTATATCCAGAAAATATTTTATGCAGTAAATTGATTACTCGAAAGTCTCGAAAACAATCTTTCGACACTTTTCAAAAAATATATGTTCTCAAAATATACTTGCAAAATGCAGCATACTTTTACATGACATTCAATAATTTAACTATAAATTTGAAATTACTATTTTTAATAATGCAATTCATTACTAGTTTAGGATAAACTCTAGTGCAAAAATAAAACTGTTTATAAACCATAAAATGAAGACCTCTTTGAGAATTCCATTACAAACTATAAAAACTAAATATCATGATACAAGATGTTCATGATCAAACATTATCATGTGTGGTACAGAACTGAATAAAAAATAGTTAAACTAAGTGTTTTAAATATTAATTAGAAATAATAATTAAAAAAATGTTCGAGTTAAAAGAACGTGAGCAGTATCACAGTACGTGATGTCTTGGGATAGCGTATCCTCCAGAGAATTTCTTGGGTAATAAAAAGTTTTATTAAAATTTAGAACGTAAGATAAATTATCATTAATAAGTATGTGAAACTATTATTGAATAAGATATTGTATTATACTATTTGTACAAAGAACTAATAATTAACACGTTAAATGCCACGGTAAATATCAGAAAAAAATCATATTGGCCATGGTAACTTTATTAGATAATTTAGTTAATAATGTATGTATCAATGATTAAAAATTTTGACAAAATTCATAAAAAAACACTATTTTTATGTGACTAACATGGCTCTATATTAAAACTATTAATTGTTTTAGTTTCAGTTAGACAGTGTATATGTCTGACCATGGTTCATGTAAAACTTTTTAGCGTCAGACATATATGACAGACATAGCGATTAACGTGTTAAAAATAAGATGACCATATTTTTTCAAATCAAAACCGAGACGGTTTTTTTTCGTTGAGACAAGGGGCGGAAGTGAATACTAAAAATTTAATGTGATTTTAAATTAACAAAACATTATTTAAAAATCCAATAAAAATTCGACAGCTTTGAAACTTATTATAAAATTTTGTTCAATTTTTTTCCTAATTATTTGAAAAAAGGTAGCATTCAGGTATTCCAGGGAGCCAAGAAGTTCATTTTTATAATTTTTGTTAATTTTCGTAAAATTTAAAATTTAAGTTCAAAATTATGTATGTGAAGGGCTATTTTAACTCGCCTTTTTCATAAAAGCATACTAGTTGTAAATAAAATTTTCAGATATTTGATGGGTAATAGTAATTTTATTATCAAGTAATTGCAAAAATTCATTATAAACCTACACTTTTCAAAAACCCGGGACAAAAGATCTAAATCCGGGACAAATATTGCTTTTAAAAAAATCCGGTACTATACCGGCCAAACCGGGACGTATGGTCATCTTAGTTAAAAATCACTCCAGGATATTGGGATTGGTAATAATCATTAGAATAAATTACAGGAAAATATCAGGATTACACAAGAATCGAGTTGAAAATTTAAATTTAGCTCTATTCAGTGATCGTCTATCAAAATGTACAGGTATTGATGTTTTCCACATACGCCCTTGTTATATCCCTCCACCGGCACGATTATTGTGTAATTAACGGAATATACACATGTATAAATATTTGCACTTTGGTATATGCAAATTGAATTGTTTATGTACATTTAATTTGCATATACCAAAGCAACTTTATTTAAGTATATTTAGAAAACAAGTATTTGTATGGTGTATAAAAATTGTGTATTTATAAATATATGGTTGCCAAAAAAAACCCCAATTTCATCTTCCGAGCAGAAATTTTAATTGTATTTCGTGTAGTCCAATCCATGCAACCATAAGGATTTATGCATTATGTATCATTTTTTTATTCGAGTCCTTTGAGAACAATATGAAGCATTTTTGTAACAATTTACTTCTTTAGAGAGATGCAAGAAAAAAATGTGTCGATTTATTTATATGTTGAGTCTACAAAAATGTTAGAAGTGTCGAAAATGCACCAAGATCTGCAATATCTATTGATGATACCCCCAAATAAAAATAAGTAAAATAGCTGTGTGATTAAATTTGTCTAATTTTAGGATTATAAATAGAAACGTTTTTTATATCCCTGCGTGGTTAAAATTTCGAAAAAAAACAAGATTTTTCCCTGAACAATCATAGATACTAATTCAAAAGAAACTATCTAATAGAATTTGTCAGAAAAACTATTATTAAATGCATTAATAATTTGAAAACTAGTGTTTTCCAAATTATTAATGTGTTTAGTAATAGTTCTTTTGGAAAATATTCTATTAGATAGTTTCTTCAAAATCATGAAAATTAAATGGTTTAAATTAAATTTATTTATTTATTTATTTATTTTAAATTAAATTTGTTTAAATTTGTTTAAATTTGTGAAAAAAATCCAGTAAATGAAAACCTTAAAGTAACAAAGATTGTTGTCTGCAAAACACTTTTTTACATAAATATTAAATATAGAAAAGTAATATGATGTATGAGGGATATATGTAGCAAAGTTTAAATACACACACACACACACACACACACACACACACATATATATATATATATATATATATATATATATATATATATATAAGGATGGTCCTTAATATGGGCATCTTAGAATTTCCTTGCTCCTAAGGGCTCAAATGGTTCCAAAATGATAAAAAACAATTCTCTGAAAGTTTTAGCTCTTAATATTGTCTTTTAGATAGAGCGCAATTCAACCAAAAATTTGTATGAAAATAGCATGAAATAATTTTCAAAAGTTTTGCAGAGCGTCGAATTTTCAATAAAAAAAACACGAATTTTCACTTTTAATTCATTTGTCGCTAAGTTATACCTAAAAAAAATTTTCAAAATTTTTCTCATGCTATTTCCATACAAAATTTGATTTAATTGCGCACTATCTCAAAGTTAATATTAAGAACTAAAACTTTCAGAGAATTGTTTTTTATCAATTTGGAACCATTTGAGCCCTTAGGAGAAAGGAAATTCGAAAATATCCATATTAAGGACCACCCTATATATATATATATATATATATATATATATATATATATATATGTGTGTGTGTGTGTGTGTGTTTGTATCATAGTAATGAAATTAGAGAGAACTGATATTTAACAAAATTTTCTTTAGGAAAAATTTTGCTCACATTTCACTCTTTACAACGAATAATTTGTTATAAAGGCATGAATTTTTTCAGTAATTTAAATTTTTACAGAATCACTTTTTCATCTTTGAACTAACCGTGAACAGTAATATTATTACTTATATTATTATTCTCATTTTAATAAAATTATTGTCTTATTTTAGTAAAACAACAGCAAATCTAACGATTATTTTGTTAAATTAAATATACTCCAGATATAAATATACCTGAAATATGAATATATCTCATATTTATTACGCACCTCACTCATGTAATCTTATAAAATAGGATTGTATATAATAATAGCAAATCGATATAACGTGAGTAGAATTCCTAACAAAAAACTCGAATCAAAAATCAGTTTAATAAAGAGTGTAATAAATAAAACCAATACATGAATCATTTAAATCATAAAAAATCACAACGCGGATAAAATCATTTATGCAAAAACTAACACATATTTCCAACTGAAAATCAATTACATTTGAAAATAAATTTGAATATTTGAAAGTAAAATTATGGCAATCAAACAAACGTGTCCCACCGTTTTCGACCGAACTTTTTTAAAATTCACTTTGAAAATTTAATTAAAATCGTGTATGAATTAGTATAAAATATTTTGTAATTCATTTAACTACAAATTACCATTACACATTTTTTAATACTGAAAGTAAAAATACATAGGTAAAATATTTGTTATTTGCGCTTCAATTAAATATAATTTTAATTTTAATTATTTTCCATATGAAACAATAATTATTCTCACATACACAAATTGATGAAAATTTTAACATTACCGATGTAATTGACATTTAATTAAAAATTGATTGGACTTTATAAACCAAAACTAAATAGGGGAAGAGCGGACAAAATGGTATGGTTTAACTTGTTAACCGGTCAGGGCGCATAAAGTATATTTTTGATCGACTTTTAAACTTGTATTTATTTTGTTCTTTTTATTTGTGCTTCAAAAATATTGATAATGAATATATATTTATGAATATATGAAGTCTCTGCTTCTTAGGGGCGTCCATAAATCACGTAAGGTTTTTAGGGGAAAGGGGGGGGGAGGTTTGACAAAAACACACAAAATATCACGTGGGGGAGGGAGGAGTATAGTAAGATATCACATGTATTTATTTTTTAACTAATTTTATTTTAAAAAATCAAAAATTTTCAAAAAAAATTACTTTATTCAAAAATTTTACAGTTTTGTCACATAACAAAAAATACACGTGATGTTTGTTGAGGGAGGGGGGGGTATTTTTGAATATCACCATGTATCATCAAGGGAGAGGGGGGGTCCAAAAATCCTTAAAAACTCGCTCACGTGATTAATGGACGCCCCCTAATCGGTGTGTCCTTTAGTTTGTTTTTAGAAGCAGTTAGAGTAAAAGTTAAAAACAATTCAACTTTCACACGTCTCAATTTTTTCGAATTAACTACCCTGTAGTTCATGCAAAATAGTACTACGTCATTTTGTCCATTGTATAAGTATGTAATTTTGTCCGAAAGTGAACAAAAATGAATAAATAATCAAAATTCTATCAAACGCCTAATAATTTACAATAAAATTGATCGAAATCTGAAGTACTGACATAAGTTAATTGATTTTAATAGAAATAAGTACAAATAACAATACATATTGCACTAAAAAACATGACAAATACACCCTCAGAATAAACTATTGAAGGCGAGAGAACTGATTTTCTGCGACAATACTGTGACAATGACGCTCAACATCTGACTTGATCGAGATTATAGCTTCATTTATGTTATACAGTCGCAAAAACATCACTAAAACTAGCCAATTTTTAAATAATGCCACTGTATAATTTTGTCCATATATACCACTTTGTCCGCATTTACCCTAATATTTAAATAATTTAGTATGTACGAGGTGTGTTCAAAAAGTACCCGGAATTACTAATAATTAAATTTCGCGGGTCTGGAGTGTCTGATTGTCAAAATTTTTTTTTTATTGTGTTGGTATACATGCCCCTAAAGTATGATGAAATTTTCAGCTATATTCACTGTTTACTTTGTCTGTGGTAGTCGCTAAGGTTCGACGTGTTTTTCTGAGCTCGGCGATTTTTACAATGGAAGAATTGAAAAGTCAAAGAATTTGAAGAGTCAAAGAAATTTTGCGTAAAAAATGAAATAAAGTGTTGCAAAGTGCAAAAATTCACCAGATATGGCTCCGTGTGACTTTTTCCTATTCCCAAAGTTGAAGAGACCCATGAAAGGACGGCGGTTTTCCTCGATTGAAGAAAATCGCTGAGAGTGCTCAAGGACATATCAAAAAGTGAATATCAAGGGTGCTTCGAAAATTGGAAAAAACGCTGGCATAAGTGTATTATATCTGGGGGGGACTACTTTGAAGGGGACCACATTAATGTAGACGAATAAATAAATATTTTTTTGAAAAAACGAAAATTCCGGGTACTTTTTGAACAGACCTCGTATATTAGGGTGGTCCTTAATATAGACATTTTTGAATTTCCTTACTCCCAATGGCTCAAATGGTTCCAAATTGATAAAAAATAATTCTCTGAAAGTTTTAGCTCTTTATTGTTTTTTAGATAGAGCGCAATTCAATCAAAGTTTTGTATGTAAATAGCATGAAAAAAATTTCAAAAATTTTGTAGAGCGTCGAATTTTCAATAAAAAATGACACAAATTTTCTCTTTAAATTCATTTGTCGCTAAGTTATACTTAATTTTTTTTTTAATTTTTAAATTTTTTCCATGCTATATCCATACGAAGTTTGATTGAATTGCTCACTATCTAATAGTTAATATTAAGAGCTAAAACTTTCAGAGAATTGTTTTTCATCAATTTGGAACCATTTGAGCCCTTGGGAGCAAAGAAATTCAAAAATGTCCATACTAAGGACCGCCCTATATATGTACTTCCAGTTTTTATTATCAAAATCTAACGATTTTAGTATGAAATAATCGTATTGAAGTAACTTATTATAAACAAGCTTGACAAGAGGTTTGCATATGAATAAATAAAGTAGTAGGGGAGACTGGGTACGGTTGTGCCAGTTTTTTTTATCAGCAATAATTATATTAATTTACCAGTTAGCTGGGAGAAAAGAACATTTGTCTACGTGGAAATACTAAAAAACTAGCCTTAAATAAGAAGGATTAGTTATGAAATCAAATCATACAAGAAAAAAACGAATGTCACAACTGTCCACGTCCCAGTACGGTTGTGACAGGCATAAAAATAGGTTAAAAATAATAGCTTTTACCATCAAAATTATTTATAATGACTTATTGTCAGAAATATGTAGCACAACACAACATAATCATTTAGGCAAAGCTTATGAATATAATATAACAATATATAACAAAACATACATTTTTAAATGAAAAATCTTTGTGAATTATTTTGTTTTTTTTGTCTTGAATTTTCATTACCCTTTCTCTTTCGTATTTTGTCTTAGATAAAGTTAGATTTTTCCCTATTTGTTTAAATTTAACCCAAAAATGATAAGAAATGCATGTCACATAAAACAAAACTAATTGCTGGTACTTAATTACTAATATTCAACTTAAAGCAATATTACAAACAAAATGATCTATCTGTATACAAGTAACACTTATTATTGAAAGAAATCGAACAAAAAAACTTACTTTTGACTCTTTAAAAGATATTAAATGTAGGACGTTGACTCAATGCATTAATGGAAACTTGTTCGAACAAACATACTTCATCTTTCTCCCTTTGGACTCTATTTCAAAATCCATATAGTTTAGCTGTTGTAACGACTGTCACTACCGTACCCTGGCACAACCGTACCCAGTCTCCCCTAGTACTTGTCTTTTAATATAGAGTTCCACAGAAATCGCGGTCCATTTAAACACCATCAAAATATACCTCTCTATATGTTTACATTTACAGATAGATATATTATAAACGTACATATGTAAAAATTGATCGTTGCCCTCGTTGCCCCCGTTGTTTCCGTGCACGAATATATGAAAACCACCTCCGTTGTATATATAAGCACCTGTTCAAAGCGTTCACTAATTTGATTACCGATCGTTTTGAACGAGTGATTAGCACGTTAATTGGACAAATGAATGATCGTTTAAATCTTCCATGTTTAATTCAAGGGGTCCTCCAAGTCACCAACTGTCTGCCACACATCTACTGGCGTCCCCGGATGGCTCGAGACACCCACTGGATACGCCCAATATAGGTAGGTAATTCATAATTGATAATTGATAATTGGTAATTGATAATTTTAATTGATTTTTATTTTATTTTTATATGTAATAGATGCAAACATAAAAAAATTCATACTCATTAGTTCTTGGCAAAGACTTGATTTTTTTTTATTAATACATTTTTTTAAGACAATATGCTGGGTGTAAATGCATTTAAGAGATTATCTCCTATGAAATATCTCTTTTTTTAATTATTTGACACTTTTTTCAGATCGTATGGCCATTTTTTTCAATCTTCGAGTAGGAGATTCCTCGCTTAATTCTTTTAAATATTTGTTTGGGTGACCTGGTAATTTTTTGTGATATTTTTGTTCCTTTCTTTTATCATTTCACTTATAGTTTTAATTTTTAAGTCTTAGACTTGAATTACATAGCAAAAAGTACTAAAAATTACAAGTTGTGAAAAAACTGAGCACCCGATTTGATTTTTTTTTTTAATTTTTGAAAAAACTGTTGGTTTAAATATCGAAGATGATTCGGATTTTAGTTTTAATTCTATCTAAAATTCTGAAGTTTGCTTATATACTTGAAATACATAATTTTAACTTTTCAATTCAGTTTATATAATTCTTAGAAATATGAGTAAGGTCTTTTGTTCTAACCCCTTCTTCAGTTTTCTTCAGTTCAGATTTTGTTATTCACTCATCATTAAGATAGATTTATTTTTCCTAATTTATTAAAAAAAAGGTTTTGCCCAGAAAATCTGTTTTGCTGATTTTATATTTGTTTTTTTTTTTTATTTGAATTTTCATATAAATTTCATACATTTCAGACAGGCAGAAGATCGTACAAAATATCTATACAAAGAATAGATCCTTATATTCATTCTTACATTCATACTTTGGGCTGATTTACCTAGATTTTTTTATAATATTCTTTTGTTCTATGTTTTAAGTCACCCTGTTTTTTTTCAACATTTAACACTAAATTTGAATAAAAATTGTATGTAAAATTTGCCTTCCATCAACATTTTCTATAAAACTTTTACATAGACCTTAAGCTATTTGATAATTTCATAATAGTCTTCATTTACTTACAAACTCATTATGAACTTAAAAATTTAAAGGAATAAGTAACTATAATAAAATTGAAGCAAAAACTTTATCCAGTGAAGATTTATTAGATAATGATGAATGAATAATTAGATAATAATGAAGGAAAAATAAATTTATTTCTAATCCAAGATTTTGAGTGAATACAAATATCTACATACAAGTCCAAAACAACTTCGCAATTTTCAAAGCATTTTAATACTATTCCTTATATCAATAGAAATAATATATTTGATTTGGTAAATAATCTCATCTAATTGAGTTTTTAGGGTAAGTTATAGTAATCCAATAATCGTAATTTTTTTTTTGCATATCTTTACGTTTCAAAGATTTTTGAACATTTTAGCTTACCTTAGAAAAAATGGATAGATGTATGTGTGTGTATGGATACAATTTTACGTCCATGACTTCGGGCGAACGGATCAATCGATTTCAATAATTCAAAACATTCCTATTGATAAAGATACTTCTGAAATTCATTCGATTCCTATTGTTAAAGAGAAGTGCTGATTTTGGCAAAGACAGATCCAGTCGTTTTGGAGATACGGAGCAAAAAGTTCAAAAATGGAAATTTGGTTTTTGCGAGAACATGGCATCCGATTAGATTGATTCAAAATATATTCGATTCGTGTTGAGGCGAGACGTGCAAGGTAGTTTTTGGCAAAGTCACTCCCACCCCATATAGGTAGCAAAAAGTGTTAAAAATTATAGTTTTTGAGAAAACGGAGCACCCGATTCGAATGATTCAAAAAACATTTTACTTGTGTTCACAGTGTGAAGAATCAAATTTTTCAGTTATTTTTTTAATTTCTTTTTTTTTCAATGCCCACTTCCAACCTATAGATTGTATTTGAAATCTGATTGTTAAAATAAACTGTGAATAAAAAAAATAAACGTTTTTTGTTTTAATTCTATCTAAAATTCTAAAGTTTGCTTATATACTTAAAAATAGTAATTCAGTTTATATAATTTTTAGAAATATGAGATAAGGTTTTTCGTTCCAATCTCGCAGATTAAGTTTTGTTTATTTACACTTATGTAAACATATATAAATGTTGTCGTTATAATGTATTATAAACCTTTATATTTTGTCTATAAAATACGAATAATAACTAGTGGTGTATGGCATCGTGCTTAAGGGAAATTGCTGAAACTTCCCGTACCGTAATGAAATACATACTGTAACATTGTATAATATTTATAAGAATCATATAAACTGAATCACATAGTCAAAAATATTTAATTAAAGGATATAAGTGTGCTTTAAAACTTCAGCCTGAATTAAAATTGAAATCTGAATTATTTTCGATATATAAAGTCAAAACAAAAATTAAAAATTTTAAGCAATTTTTTGCCAAAAGCAATTGTTTTGTTGACATAAGCAGAAAGTTTTTTGAATCATTCAATTCAGATGCTTATTTCTCTCAAAAACTGACATTTGTATATTTAGCTCTGTATCTTCGAAATGGCTGGGCCTGTCTCTGTCAATTCTCTGAATCATTACTAATTGAATGTTTTTTGGATCATTTAAATCGGATGCTCCAATCTCTCAAAAACTCGATTTCTATTTTTGCACTCTTTGCTCGGTATCTCCGAAGCGGCTGGACCTGCCTTTGCCAAAAACTAATCAGCACATCTCCCTATCAATAGAAATCGAATGTATTTTGAACCATTTAAATCGGTTTATCCGTGCGCCCGAAAACGTGGACAAAAAATTGTATCCATACATACATACACACACTCACACATCCATTTTTTTTTATGTATGCCAAATGTTCAGAAACCTTCAAAACGTCGAGAAGTGTAAAAATTTTCAATTTCGATTTTTGGACGATTACAATAAATTACCAGGAACGGTAATTACGGGAAGTTAATAAACAGTGTTCAACATTTTCAAAAACTGAAACATCATTCAAATTTAATAGTCACTCAGCTTCTTGACATCAATTTCAAGAATACTGAAAAAGAAGCTGTCCAAAAATAATATTGAAGACCTTTAGCACTACCACATCTTTGTAGATATGAACAGAATTGGTGAATTCTCATTGTGTGGTTCTTCAACTATCGATATAGTAAAATTTACCACGATAATTTATATGTGTATTTGAAAATGTGTGTATGAGGTCATAGGATTGTACTGTATTCTGATTGCTTTTGAAAAAATATATTTGAAAATGTTTGAAATAATGAAATTTACAGTATTTGTTATAATCTATTTGAGACCGATTAAAACATCTCGAATATTTCATTACGGTACGGAAAGTTCTAACAATTTGCCTTGAAGCACGATTCTATGCACATGCACCACTAGTTGATATTGAGATAACACATTTCTTAAATATTCAATTTATTTATTGGGTTAATTATATTTCCTCTGTTTTTTTAACTTCTCGTAGGGTAAGTTATAGTAATCGCAAAAAATCGAAAATGAAAATTTTTATATATCTTTACGTTTAAAAACCTTCTGAACATTTTTGGCATACCTTAGAAAAAATGGATGTATGTGTGTGTGTGTATGTGCGTGTGTGTATGTATGTGCGGATACAAATTTTCGTCGACGATTTCGGGAACACGAATCAACCGATTTGAATAATTCAAGAAACATTCGATTCGTATTGATAAGGAGACGTGCTGATTAGTTTTTGGCAAAGGCAGGTCTAGACATTCGAAAGATACGGGGCAAAAAGTTCCAAAAATGGTAACTCAGTTTTTAAGAGAACGGAGGGAATTTGAAAAAATGTTCAGAATTTCCAAAATTTGTCAAAATGAAAACATTTTTCTTTTCAAAAAAATTTTGTTTTTCAAAAAAAATTTTTTTTTTTAAAAAAAGTAATTTTTTGTCAAATTTATAGTTTCTCAAAAATCTAATTTTTTCGAAGTAAATTTTTTTCAAAAATGTTAATCGTTTTTAAAAAAAACTAATAATTTTTGGTACGGAAAGTTCCAGCAATTTGCCTTAAGGCACGATGCCCTAATTGCCTTAAGACAGAATTCCACTTACAGCTAGTTTTTAAATAACTCATTTCTCTATTAAGGTTTCGTGGGAGGCGACTCTCACGGCTTCGTCCACGAATGGGCGTGCGCCGCCAGTTCGCGCGACGAGTACTCGAGGCTCGCGGGTCGCGGCTCGAGCCCCGAATTGTTCGGTTCGATATCCGCGGGTCTCCATTACGCCAGCGGGGGCTCCCTTGGGAGAGGGTCAACTTTAGCCGGGAGCGGGCCAGACAGGCAGAGGAACAGGAGCTGTTTCGGGAATAGTGGAGGGTCGTCTATCTGGTCATGCTTTGTCGCCTGTCATAGGGGGACTGAGGCAGAGTCTGGCTAGGAGGAAGGTAATAAGAAATTTATGTGTAAACTTACAACTTTGAAAACAAAAAATATTTAGGAATAAAATGTGTTTATGTAGCGAATTTATTGTAAGCAAATTTATTTTAAAAGAAGTCGGTGCTGGTATATATCTATTGCCAGTGGCGTCGGAACCGTGTGGGCTGTGTGGGCTCAAAATATCAAAATATTATATGCCCTGGTATCATGTGTATCAATTATAAAACGAAGCCACTGGCTGTGTATCAAAAAACCCATCAAAAATTTGCTTCCGACGCCACTGTCTATTGCTGTCAAATGTTTGACTTTTGAAGTAAAACTTCTTTAGGCGCGACTAGGGTGTAAATCCGTACAAATGCAAAGGAAGTGTGTTACGGCAGATGAGAGTCGAGTACTAATGATTTGTCATTTAATCTCGATGATATCTTTTCTTTACGGGTCGATTGTGATTAGTCGTCGCGTATGTGAATAGAGATCTGTCGTTGTATGCGTACAGGCGTCAAAGTTGTATGCGTAACGATATAAACAAGGAAATCGGTATAGATAAATATTTTAAAGTTACATCGTAGTACAAATCTTGATTTAATGAAAAACTCCTGAATCAGAAGAATATTTTACCCTGTCCCCCGTAAATAATTATAATAAAAATAATAAAACAAACAATTTGCACCGTGTAAGGAACATAAGTTCATTGAAATAATTTCTATATTATTTGCAGTTTATATAACTCTTTCATGTTATTGAAATGGAAAATATTTTTTAGGCAAAACAGATATACAGCTGTTCAAGAATGATATTATATGGCCAGCAAAAACGTAAAAAATATACTATCAGTCAATGAATGTATGTTAATTTTAATTATATGAAGTCCTTCAAACACAATTATAACATGATGAGTAAGTTGCGAAAACAATATTTGTTTAGGCGTTGTTTAACATAATCCACAGTGTGAACAAATATTAAAGAATTTATTAATCAGCAGTTACTTCATTTCTCTAATAAAAGTTCATTTCTAAATGCTAATTACAATGATAAATCGATCATGTCATTTTTGAAGTATGACTTTAATTACATTATTGTTTTTAAATATTATACATATTTTTAATGCTATTATAAATATATAATTTATAACTTATCATTATATAAATGTGTATAATGGTTGACACTAATAAATGTGTGTATCACGAGTGTTACCATATTACTAATAAACATTATTCAAAATTGTTATATAATGTATTTATTTTTACTTAAATGTCATCTTATATAGTAGCAAATAAGTTTTACTTCAATCACGTGTGAACCTTACGCGCACTCTTTTTTATTTTGTTGGTACATGTTGATCAGTTATATCAGAAATATTCAACGTTCTATTCAAAATCCAAATGTTTCCAACCAAGCAAAATATATATGCAAGTATCATAAACGTTCTTTGGGTTTTCAAATCGTATTTACTAAATATGAATTAAAAATAAGAAATATTTAAGCGCAAATTGTAAATATTTCTATAGTGAATTTATAGTAAGCAAACGCAATAACGTCATTTTTTTTAGTGAAATTCGGAAAAGCTGGTACAAGCTGGTTATATTAGATCTGTTATATTAGAAATCTTGGAAATTCTATTCAGAATACAAAAGTTTTCAAACAAGCAAAATATTAGGTTGGCAACTAAGTAAGAGCAGTGTTCAGCTTACATAGTTTCAATTTAATTTTTAGGTTTACTGACGTAGTCCAAAAGTAAAATACCTTTTGTTAAGAGATAGTAGGCTATTTAGATAGCCATCAGTAAACAAAGAGTTTTTTGATCGATTGTGTAGTTTTTGCTCTGGACATCCAGTTGATATTGATTACAAAGGGATTGTCTGAATTGTGATGTCTACATTGAACAACTAAAAAAGTTAAACAATGCATTCGAAGAAAAGCGACCTAAATTGACAAATCAAAACAGTGATTTATACGATCAAAATTATCAGAATTTGATTAGGATGTTTTGCCTCATTCATCATACAGTCTTGTCATTATACCTTCTGACTACTTTTTGTTTCGATATTTACAAAACTCCCTAATTTGTAAACAATTAATTGAAAATAATGATGTCAATTTGTACCTCATTCGATTTTTTTTTAATGAATTAATTGTTTGTACACATATCGAGTATCTTACTATTAATAAGATATGCTTAATCTACCAGTTTCAATGATGAGTAAAACGTAGGAATAATTTGTTTTAAAACATGTATGGCTTAATTCAATATTTAAGACAGAAAACCAGTATTGATAAACAAGAAACCAATTTTAGTGGCATGTTAATATAAAATAATTAAAAAATGGTCGGATAAAAAAATTATATGATAATGAAATCATATAGTTTTATCTCTATCTATAATTAATCATTTCTAGTGAATATTATCATTTATCTAGATTTCGCAAGGATTAAAATTGTACAGTGAGCACCGAGAGGCGGCTGCCGTGCGAGTATGGAGATCAGCTCTCAAAAATATCAGGAGACGTGACGACAGATTTATGCTACTAGGTTATTTATATAGGGCACATGCCGATTGGGGAAAATACAGGTAGATATTTATTTAAAACACAACTGTTATATAAAAATGATATATGATCATATTTCATCAGAGAATCGCTGGAATATGCTCATAGACAACTAAGTATATCAGAAGAATTAGATTCGCCTTGGATGCGCGCGGAAGCTTACATCAATTTGGCGACTGCACACGAGAGGATGGGGGCCCTAGAAAGGTAATAATGGACACATTTTTCTAAAACATATATTATTTAATGAAGGTAATGTATACACAAATAGGAATGTAATAACTAGTATTAAAATGCATTTGATGATTTAAAAACAAGTTAAAAAAAATATAAAAAAGGGAAAAAAACAAAATTCTCAAACAAAATCTATTTTTTTTTTCAAAATTTTCGAAAATTTTTAAAGTTTTTAAAAAAAATTAATTAAGGAAAGATGCAGCAATTTGTCTCAAGGCACGATGCCATACACCACTAGTCTACATATATATAAAAATAAGTCGAGTTTTCCTTCCTGACGATATAACTCCAGAACGCACGAACCGATTTCGACAATTTTGCATTCGCTGGAAAGGTCTCGGGCTCTGCAAGGTTTATAGCTAAGAGCTTAATTAGTGGTGCATGGCATCGTGCTTTAATGCAAATTGCTGGAACTTCACGCACCGTAATCAAAAATTCGAGCAATGACATTAGTGAGAATTATCAGAATTATGCTTAGCTAAGTCAACGAGCAATTCTTGCCGCAAAGAATAATGATGTACACGCACTGAATTTCATCATTCAATCAAAAGTTGCTGGCGATTTAGTGACATACCAATGATTCCGACTGGTCTTCCGTTTGACTTTAAACGATTGCAATTTCCAGTTCGCCTTGCGTTCGCAATAACAAGTCGCAAGGCCTATCGCTTAGTGTTTGCGGGAAATTTCAAATAGATTATTTAAAAAATCATTGTTTTTCACATGGGCTGTTACACGTTGCCTGCTCACGAGTTGGAAAACCATCCGCTTTGTTTGTGTTAACGTCAGACCAAAAAACAAAAAATGTGGTTTACCAAAAAGCACTTCAATGAAACAGATAATTTGCGGATTCACTTTCATTTACTTAGGGAAGTTTAACTAAAAAACACTTCATTTTTGTAATCGAAATAAATTCATTACTGTTGTGTAATAAAATCAAATTTTTCCTTTTCAAATATAAAACAAACAAAACATTTCTTCATCATTCTCATGAAACCATCTGGTAGCAAAACGGAGTTCGTCGGGTTTGCTAGTTTTTTTATAAAATTGGATTGATTAATTAAACATGCCATAAAAATATATCAATTGGGATATTTCATCAATGTTTTCACCCAGGGCCCTGAGTTACGCTCGCCACGCTCTATATAACGATTCGGAACGTGTCGAAGGTGCAGTCCAGCTGACGGTGGCGCGGGTATATTTAGAAATGGGTGGATATTCCAGGTCGCTAGAAGGACTGCATGGAGCTCTTAAATTAGCCCAAGCCACCAGAGATCACGCATTGGAATTACAGGTACACTTATATCTAATTATAATCGGCAAATATTTCCAATCTCTGATAATGTTAACATCCAGCGCAAATGTTATCCATCAAGTAGGTGTTTAGATAGACGGAGATTTCCGCAAAGGAAATCTTGGAAACTACGCTTGGATTCTCGGAAGTTTTGTGTAACGGTTTTATATAAATATTTATTAGGAAATTCACTCTAGACGCTGATTGAAAACGCGCGGAAACATAATGTGTATTTGTAAACTTTTTGTTTCAATTGTAAAAATATAAATTTAGTTCAAATAATCATCTGAGCATGATATAAATCATATATAAGGCACTTAATCTTCTATTTTACATAATTTATAAGAAACCGATTGCAACTCATCGAACTTTCTACAAAATATTACCACCATCAATATCTCAAAAATAATAAAGAAAGTAATCTTTTAACAACAATATTTAAAAGTAGAGGGCAAAAAATGTGTCATTTAAGCCATCGTCTTAAACCAAGCACTGTTGCTATCAAGAGATAAGCGTCCAAGTTTGAAAATCTATAACAAAAGTATTTTCTTTTATTGTTAAGTTTTTTGCTTTGCAAGTACTGTTCGAAACGTATAAATATTTGCGCTAAATGGTAATTGCGCACTTTAGTAAGCAAATTTGTTAGGCACCCTCTACATTAGGGTGGTCCTTAATATGGACATTTTCGAAAAGCATTTTTTTAATTTTTGAAATGTTTTCCTTGTTAAGTTAATAATAAGAGCTAAAACTTTTAGAGAACGTTTTTTTTATCAATTTGGAAGCATTTGAGCCCCTGGGAGCAAGGAAATTCGAAAATGTCCATACTAAGGACCACCCTACTCCACATATTGTACATACTAATGTCCAATTTATAGTGTTTTTAAATTTCCTATGCTTTAGTACTAACATTTTCACGTTTCTACCTTTACAGGTATACGTAGGATTTTCTGAATTATTCGGAAGGTTACAGGACGTTGACAAAAGTGCCACTTATGCAGCAAAAGCTTACGATCTGTCCAGATCTTTGCAGGTACAATATAATAAGGAACACATTACATACATATCACAAAAATTACAAATATATGTATTACCATATTAATGTTTTAGTTGGGAGATTTAAATTCACGCGACCATAGAGCTGCGCTTATCCAAATGGCATCAGCCTTGAGAAAACAAGGTGACTTGGGAGACGCCCAGGATTATTGCTCGGTAAACCAATTACTTTGTTTTTATTAAATTAGAACGTAAAAATAAAATTTTATTTATTTTTGTTTATAGGAAGCAATACGATTATCTATTGTATCAGGAGACCAAGCGACTTATACGCGAGCGTTAGGTGTCATGGGTGATATATACCGAAAGAAACAAGATATCGGTGTAAGTAAATTTAAAGAAATTACATATGTTAATAGTAGTTATAAATATAATTAGTTATAAATAAATAAGTAAAAAAATAAATGAGAAAAAAAGAATCCTGATTCAAAATTAATGGGCCACTTCTGCTGAAAAATTGAAAAATGTTATGTCAAGGCTATGCTCCGCTGGGTTTTTCATATAAAATAGTACTAAAAATTGTCAAAATGCTATAAGGGTGGTGTGCAGTCAGGCGAAAATCTTATCTAGAAAACGCACAAATGTTGAAAAGAACTTTATCATAAGTGCATATTTCTGATGTGTTGACCTGTGAGAAATTTATGTGAAAAACGCCTGACTGCAGAGCAACCATTTGGCATTTTGGCTGTTTTTAGTACCATTTTATATGAAAAACGCATTGTAACATAGCCTTGCCATAACATTGGTCTATTTTACGCCAGAATCAATTTTGGCGATTAATTCGTTCAGGAGACGAATATGTTTTAGAGATCTGTGAAAATTCTTCCTACTTTTAATTAATTATAAGAGACAATAGGCTTATAATTTAAAATATCAAAATAATGTAGATAAATCTTGAAATGAAAATTCGAATGACATTCAGAGGCAACTACATCGAATGTTGTTCCAAGCCTAGTAGTAGGCTCGGTGATTATTTATCAGATTTTATCAGGAGTTAATTTTGTATGCAAAATTTAATTTAATTTTGACATTTAATTTCAAATCCTTAATTAATTAAATTAAATAATAATTAATTCTTTAAAGTCGTATAACTCGTACACTTGTAGATCTAGATGCATAAATTTTTTATGACAGATTTCTAACTTCAGAATGATAATAAACTCTATAAGTTGCAGCTAATCTGAGCTAACAATTTTTTTACCCAAATATACCCCAAAAAATAGTACTTTTGATCAGACTTATTTTCGGGGTTTCGGCGATTTTTGACTATAAAACTAGGAGTATTGAAATATAACTTTTTGGACGATATATCTTTTGCAATTTGATAAGTACATGTGGATATTAAGGTTTTTATCCCAATGTCCTATATCCCCTAGATGCCTGGCAAGCGTCAGGCATTCATCGTGTTCAAGAATTAAAAAATGTTCTTTGTTCCATTGATTCCTTTTAACAGATTGGACTATTGGGTAAAATCAGATCAATAAAATATTTTGCGTGTAAGATCCCTATTTATATAACAGATTTTTGAAATTAACCCTTTCCACTCGGCAAAATTCATATAAATCTCAGAATTTGCGAGTGGAAAGGGTTAATTTATGTCCTTTTTGTAAAAATAAAAAAACTATTACTGTTCCAGCGAGCATTTCGTCAATACGAACAAGCGATGGGTGCTTCGGCAGCCGTAGGGGACAGACTTGCGCAAATGCAAGCCATGGACGGAGCGGCCAGATGTCTAGAAGCCCTTAGGTAATTTATATAAAATAATAAAAATAGTTTAACAATAATAATAATAATATTTTATGCAATATTGTGATTTAATTGCTATGGTTTTTGCTAGATTGCAAAATAAAATATGTAACTGCCGTCCGCTAGAATTCAACACGAGGTTACTGGAAGTTGCAAGTTCGGTTGGAGCAAAGGTATGGTAAAAATTCATATAAAAAATAATTATGTAAAAATAAGTTAAAATCTTAATTACTGAATTGTAAGAGATATTGTGTATTATCGTTATGTTTATTAACAAGCAATGGTTCTGGATTCAAAAAAATATTTAACTTCAATTTGTGAAAAATCACTGAAGTCAAATAGTTGTTAAATCCTTCAAATTCATCATGATTTTTTTCTAGTTGTTGGTGCGTACGGTAAGGACGAGACTGTCGCAGATCTACACGAGCCTCGGAGATTCAGACAAAGCTTTAGAACATGAAAGAGCAGCCAGCGAATTGAGAATAGATTGTCCAGGATGTGGAGAAGATATGGGCTTGGAACCAGAACCATTGGAAGCTCTGCCTTGTGCTCACATACTGCACGCAAGGTAAATCGAAAATTGATACTTTATCCAAGTAATACAATACTCATATTACAATTACGCTTCATAAAATAACTAGTTGTAAGTGGCATTTTGTAAGACGAGTTGCAATCTTCCCAATATGTGCAGGAAGACTTAGCAACTGATGATATTTTGAAATTATGCCCCATCAATCCAAACTTAGATGTTTTTTTTTGTATCTATAACAATTTTCATAGGTCTACAAATTCATAAGAATGATGATCCAGATCATTACTCCTGTCATCATACAAAGTTTCGTCAAAATTATCAAAAAAAAATTAACAGTCCATTACAAAGAATTGTCTTGACTAATCTTTAGCAAAAACTGATCAGCACTATTGCCAACTGATACCTCTCGCCTAGGGATTTTTGGCAAAAACGTGAACAAAAAAGGTTGAAAAATTGATGATCAAGATCATTACCTCTATCATCATACAAAGTTTCGACAAAATTATCAAAAAAAAATTAACAGCCAATTACGAAGAATTGTCTTGACTAACCTTTAGCAAAACCTGATCAGCACGATTTCCAACTAATATCTTTTGCTCAGGATTTTTGGCAAAAACGTGGACAAAATAATGATGATCAAGATCATTCTTCATCATATAAAAGAAAATGATCAAAAAACACAAGTCCATTAAAGACTCGACTAACCTTTAGCAAACCTGATCAGCAGATTTCCAACGATTCTTGGCTCAGATTTTTGCAAAAATGTGAACTTTTGTTGATGATCAAGACATTACCTTTTCATCATCAGAAAATTTTTTCGAAATTATCAAAAAAAATAACGTTACAAAGATGTCTCGACTAACGTTAGCAAACCTATCAGCATTTGTAACTAATATCTTTTGGCTCAGGATTTTTGGCACAAACGTAGGCACTTTATAATAATAACGGCTTGAACCTATCATCGCAAAACTGATCAAACGAGTCCTTGTAGCAATTTAAAAATTTTCCTCCTGACTACATACAGGAAGATTTTGCTCGTCGTTCCAGTTGATAGAACCCTTTCGGTAACTGATGATATTCTTATGTGATATATGATGATATTATAACCTTTAGCACGACCCATAAGTATGGTTACATCATGAATATAAGACAAACTACTAGTTTCCAATACACATATTTGAATTAATAGAGAGTAAGAAACACTGTGAAAAGTGTCTGGCATTGTTTCGGATAACCTGATATCAAGTATCATATCCATTTTCAATATTTTCAAGAATCAAATATATTTATTCCATTGTTGAAAAAAATCTGATAAAAATATATCAAATATAAATAGACCACTGCCTACTAAAAAGCCACGTGTTAAAATAAAACAACAAAACAGAACTCAAGTAGGGCTTAAGCTCTGATTTTGTTAAAAACATTTGAATTTTGATTCTCCTTATTATCAGCCATCAATTTAATCCTTTCAGGTGTGCTCATGACATTCTAAGGAGGCGTGACAAAAGAAGAACTCGCGCTTGTCCTGCTTGCAACAAAAATCTAGGATCTCGACTTCAACTCTGTCAAGACGAAATCTTCTCAATCGGAGCATCTCCTCCTGTGGTAATGAGTCCACCACTTATAACTTCTGCAAACAGGTCCAGACTTTCCCTCAATGCAGATACTTTGAGTTTAAGAGCCTCTAGTTTAACAATGAACAGCGACTGCCAAGCTACTTCCTCAGTTTAAAACAGTATTTGACCGAGATGGTGAATAATCATTTTTGGAATAATGGTAACTTAGGAAGGAAACGTAGATGAATACTATGAGTCGTTAATATTGATGTATGTAGCGTTGTATATGAATTTTATCTGATAGATCTCACTGCACATTTTATACGTTACGATAAACTGTCACACTAACTGGTCGCAAATCCTGTTTACCACAAAACCTGGTCAGTAGTCGGGTACCAAGATTGAAGACAAAATCTTAATAGTATCATATGAAACCGCCTTTTAAAGTAGGCGATATCATTTGAAAGGACCTTAAACTTCTTAAACATTTTAGTATTAAAACTCCCTATTAGCGCTTTAAGTCTAATTAAAACAAACCAAATAACAATTTTAGGGAATATTTGAGGGCAACGTCTCAATAATGATTTTTAACTAAAAGTGTGCTTAGAATGACAGAACGTTGGATTAACTTCACTCACATCAGAATTTTGAACAATCATAAAATGATACTTTGTTTAGAACAAGAATCAATAATTTTTAAATAAATTTACCGCAGAAAAGTATCAGAGCTTATATAAGACTTGTCTCAAAACCTCAAAGAAAACCAATCTGAGTCGTTTTATCGTAAAACACCAATAATAAAATAAGTAAAACTCAATCGAAAATTATACAAGCATTGATATAAAAATTAATGGTACATTGTAACATGCGTACAGGAATAATTTAATATTACATATATTAGTTTTAAAGATAAGCGAAACCGGAACAAAATGATGGTGTAAATAGGCAATTAAATTTAAATCAAATTCACATTAGTATTTAGGCACAACTCTAGAAATTAATCGTAATTTAGGAAGTGTTCAATATGAATTTTATCGATTTTAACATAAAATTGTACGTTATTTTCTCCCACCAAAGCTGGGTTCACATAGAAAACAAATATATTAATATTTTAAGAACAAATATATATAATATAGAATAAGTGTATAAAAAAAAATATTCGAAGATTTAGAAATGAATTGTGGACTGATTTGATGACTGCTAACAAGTTTAGCAGGATCAACCTTGGCAAATCTAACAACCGTCTGTTAAAAAAATCAAATCTGCTATAGAAGCACAAAATAGGAAATGTGTATCATTCTTATTTTAACACAATCGGTAAGAGAGTCGCCTATAGATGACATTCGCTTGACGACCTGAGAAATGGCCTTGTGTACGAGTGTCGCCTATAGACGACATTCAGTGTTTATAACTCTGAGTTATTTGAGAACTAATTTACTTTTGTGATTTTTAGTTTTCAGAAGTATAGTTTAGATTTTTATTAATATAATGATTAGAAAATAAAAAAATACAGTCCCGTAGAGGAGTGTCTCTCCAATTGGTTAACGGAAAACATTTTCGTAGCAAAAATGTTAATACAATGATGTTATCAGCATCAATATAAATTTGTTTTGCAATATTATTATGAAGAATTTTTTACTGTGTAAATATACAAAAATCGCATATATTTCAATCACTTATTTCAAACGAAAAACCGGTGATGTGAAAAATTTAGGAAAACTGCAATAGTTTAAATTGTAGGACTAACAATCAAATGAATTAATATATTACAGAATCATCCACAATCGTTTTAATATTAAATAAATATTTAGTGCACATTTCCTATTGCTGGGTGATTTGACAGCAAAATTGTGATTTTGAATGTAAAACCATAAATTTATTCTTCACTTTAGATAAGAGTGTCTTTATCAAAATAAATCAAAATTATATAGATGTACTACTCCAAAGACTTTCTCAGTAAGCACGTACACTTAAATATATTTAGCTAAATATTATCTTTAAATTATTCTTGCACTTCACATATAATATATATGCATATATAGCTATTTTAAAGTATAAATGTAAAATATTCGAATAGAAGTTTTCGGAATAAAATATCAAGTTACAAGAGAAAAATTTGTGAATGTTATGTTACTGCATTAAATGCCATATTGATCAAGTATAACGATTTAGTTTCATTTAGACTTGGATAACAAAAAATATTCAATCTTTTAAACTCAATCAATGAAAGATATAAATTTAGACAAACTTCCAGTTCATATTCTTCAGTTATCATCTGTTGATGATAATGATAATATTCATAGGTTTTAGAAAACAGATTAAAATAAATTTATTTAAATATACAGGGTATCCAAGAATCTCAACGACAAGCCGAAACGGGGTAATTGGATTGACCTTAACTGTCCTGAAACAAATTAGAACAAAACTCTCATGTTGTTTGGATGTTATGAGCTTTTAAGTGCAACCCTGAGGCTTTGGTAAAATTATGACCATTTTTTAGTTATTGTAATTAATTTTTATTAATTTGGTTCATTTCAATTCAAAGTTCAAATGAGCACAATTAATAAAAAATAACTATCAATAACCGAAAAAAGTTCACAGTTTTACCAAAGCTCTGGGTTGCGCTTAAATAGTCAAAATTTTCAAACCACACGAAAAAAAAATTCTAATTTTTTCTCATGACAGTTACAATCAAAACTATCACCACGTTTCGGCTTGACGTTGAGTTCTGGGACACCATGTATATATTCAAAAAATAAACCGTTATATTTTTCGAATTCACATAGATTTTTAATTGGAATAAGCTTTGGTATATTTACTAAATTTTAACTAAAAAATGATTTTAAATACAATATAGTGCACTTTTATACAAGTTCGACTCCAGAATTTATCAAGCTATAGTCAATCAAATTTTAGTAAGTAATATAAAATTCAATTTTGATTTGCAGCAAATACAACTTCATCAACATTTGAAGCAGAAATATTAAGACAGTAAATTGGCAGTCTTATTAATAGTTTAAAATCAAATTAATTTTTAAATGTGACTGCAAATGGAATATTCCTTATTTAAAAAATTAACTAATTATTATACATATCTCTCTTCAAATTAATAGAATATTTAACAATTTCATAATATGAAACAGCCGGTGCACATTTTGTATTTGTGTCATAAATAAAAAACTCAATATTACTTGCTATGTTTAAAAATATTATCATTGATGTATTAAAATAAAATAGAAAATTTAGAAAATTGAAGTAAAATTACATAAATTGGACAAATGATAAACACTTTTACCATTGATTATGAGATAATTTAAATTAATGAAAACATGATTGCAAACTACGAGAGCTGATCTCTTCTAATATAAAAGAAATACTCATATATACAACCATTTTTTTAAAGAAGTCAATATGTACTTAATTAAATAAGTACAAGAAATAATTAGTGTAAACGCGTTTGTTAACATTTAGAAATATACCGAAAACTGAATACCATATGATAATCCAATTTTACAAAGTTTATTAAATATAAATTACAATTTAAAATATGTATGAAAATAATTTCGATGTAACAAAAAAGGTCAATTTTATATACCTACAAAATTAAGATTGCCAAAATGACATGTTCGAAGAATTCTATATCTATTTACGAATGAGTTGAATACTAATAATAAGTCGAATATTTTAGTATAAAATAGTTATTTTATATGTTGTTGATTTTTATATCCAGAGCTGTGGATAAAAATGTCTTAGGATCGACATTTTGGGAAATAAATGTAGGAAACAAAAAATTTATGGTACTTGCAGTTCTGGTTGAATCGTATTTGATTAAATCAAAGTAATGTGATATTTGTTAAAAGTGATCGATGTACATTATAAATGTGCAATATTTAGTTGTCTAATAACATAATTACATTGAGACGATGACAACCTTTATATGATTTATACAATATATATATATATATATATATATATATATATATATATATATATATATATAAGAAACAAAAATCATGCAATTTTAATTACTTACAGCTAAGTTTTGACCAAAGGTTGTCGAGACTATTGAAATTGATTTGTAGCCATTTGTTATTCTGCCTTTGTCCGGTACCTATAAGTTTTGGTTGCGCCTTATGCTCAATAAACTCTGCCAAAGAATGAAAGAAAATTTAAAACGATTCTGAGATATGTAGTTGCGATTTGACAAACTGATATATTATAGATGTTAATATAAAAAGTTTAAAAAATATATACACATAGATATATTGTAAAAATTTAAAAAGAAATATATATTAAATAATTATTACAAACAAATCACTGTGTTTATCTATGAAGTTTTGTCCTTCCACCACAAACAATGCACAAACACAAGATAAATCATTAAAAGACACAAATATAGGAAAGATGAAAAGAAGATAAATATTTAGTCCCATTAAAAAATCTCTTGTTAGATTTAATAGTATTTAACTATTAGTTTTATTATTATTCATCTTAAAATGCAATATGTTAACCAGTTAACTTCGGCGCGCTCATCGAACAGTGTACCCAGTTTTGTATCATCCGAATCGAGCTCATGACAAGTATAATCATTAATTATAAAGTATGTTTCACCAGTAAGATATTGGATGAAAAAATTGATTTTGTCACAATTTTCTTTTTTCTTTAAATTATACCTTTTGGTTAATAATACATATTAAACTGAAAACGAAATAAATTCAATTAAATATTATACACATAAATGTAAAAAATCAAATTCTTGCTGTGGTTTGATACAGCCTAAAATACTAGACCTAGGAAAAGTAATTCAATTACAAAAATTCATTAAAGGTTGGAATTAGCACATGTACTATATAGAGATAACATTCTATAATTTTACTGGTCACTATTGACGTGTACTGTTAAATAAAATACATTTTTGGAATACAAATTAGAACAAAATGTGTGAAATGAATTAAATTAATCAGTTACATGTACTATAAGTTTGTTTAAAAGGTATCAATTGGAAATCGCATTTTGTTTCTAGTAAAAAAATATTTTCTAAATAAGCTATTAAAAATTAAATAGCTAAATCACGATTCTTAATGATTAAGACGACTATTGGCTATCGACACATATAGAAAGTTCATGCACCTTGCCTTAAAGGACACTTACAACCGTGCTTATAATTATGCTTATTTATCTATGCTTACAACTACTTATTTTTCACAGTCCAATCATTTAAGCTTAAATTAGGTAAGAATCTCGAGATACTCAGCTGTAAGTCTGTAAATGCTTGTATATTGACACTAAAAAGTTGTCTCAAAACTACATATGGTAGGGTGTACATATGTAAGTTTTGAGACAACTTTTTAGTGTCAATATACAAGTATTTACAGACTTACAGCTGAGTATCTGTAATTCCAAGATGAACTTACTATAATGACTGGACTATTAACCTTTGACCAACTTAGCCTCAAAATATTATTATCTTGAAATTTGAAATTGTTTTGTTTTTCTCAAAAATCTTTAAATAGTCAATAATCACTGACTCATATTCATGACGAGTATACTTGCTAGTACACGTAATTCTACTATTTCTCCATGACGACTATACTTAATCACAGTTAACTGGTTGAATATAACCGAAAAAAATATAAATCACGCTTGAAATTATTGTCATACTAATAATCATGAATAAGTCATCATAAAAATATTTTTTTCTTTATTCTTTCTTTTATAAGTATGTCCATAGAAAACAATTTTACATATATACAATGGTTTAATAAAATGCTAAAATTAAGTTAATCTATATAATACACAGGTGAAGATAAAATTAAATCATTAAAACCTTATTTATAATTTAAAACTTAAAAATACTCAACTAACTTATTCAAATACTCAACAAGGTTCAAGAAAAGTTTTAAAAAAAATCATGAAAATTAAATGTGTAAAATACAATTTTGTTACAACCCATTTGTAAGAAAAATAATAGTTTCAGAAAGGTTAGACCAAAAAAGTTACAAGAAGAATGAAAAGAAAATAAATAAAACATTTATCTATTTTCTATCCATCAGTTATTATAAATATTTATTCATAAATAAAATATTGATCATAATCTATTTATAATTATACATTATTAAATATTTAACAATTAAGTTTATAAATGCCTTTGTCTCGACATGCATACATCATATATATATACATCATATATATTATGTGTGTGTATCAAATATATAAAAACGTAATAACAAACCTTATAAAAATACATAATTAAATAACTCATCTAAAAATATCGTAACATCCAAAGGCTAATTACAAATATACATATGTTTATATGTATATGGTATAATTAATAATGTAAATATATGTGTATGCCTATGTATAGTGTTATTAAAATTATATAGTTCACAGTCAATCAAAGTGCTTTAGGACGATCACTAAAGTTAAGTTTTACCCATTAAGTATATCTCATCAAGCCGCTAGCAGTTCACTAAAATGATAATTGATATCATTAATTCATCATATGAGGTTATAAAAATATATTTTGATTGGAAAATTTACCTAAAAATTTAATATTTTCAGATTTGTTGATACATTGGACATATGATTTAGATATGTAATATATTACTGTTTATTACTGAACTTTTATAATTATAATTGTCATATAATTTTTAAATTCTTTATATTAGATCAACCGGAAAGTTCTGTCCGAATTTATGACATTTTCGCCACGTTTACTGAATTAAATGTTTATTTAATGAATCTTCGACTCTGTATTTTTATCACTGAATATACATGTTGATATAGAAAATAAACTTCACATCAGTCTTAACTGTGAAATAATAGTATAAAGTTCATTACTATATTTTATAAGTTTTAAAACAAAAGAAATGCTATGGAAGCACGTAGAAATTTATTGAAAGTGTTTAGTGAAAGTACAGTTTCTGATAATAAAATTTGAAATGGATTATTTTGACCTTTCTGTTCCGAGTGAGCATCTTTGTTCAATGACTATGTTGTTAAGGTATTTATGGAGTAAGATCCTTCTCTGATAATGTTAGGGATCACAGAAAGACCTAATATATCTCACCAAATAATTTCTGACCATATTCATAATATAGGTTTAGGCTCAGAACAAAATATAGCTCATTTTAAACCAGATGGTAACTGGCGATGTACAGTGGATTACATAAAAGCTCTGATTATCACATGTTTTTCATCTTACAAAATTTTTTAACAGGCAAGAAATTAAAAAATGAACATTTCAAGCAAGTATTGGTTCAACTTTTTGCATAAAATAGTTTTGAAAAATGGGATATACAAATAGCCCTCACTCTGACAACAGATCATTAAAAATAATAGAAATTGTATTATCCAATAAAGTTAATTGGCAAAAGAAAAAAAAATAGTATATTCTTTTTTTCCACAAATGGTTAGAACTTTCCAGTATCCTAATATATGCCCTTAAGAATATAGAAAAATAAAATGCCCAAGTCAATTCAAACAAAATTGTGAAAGAGAAGATAAAAGTATCAGACTAAGTAAATAGATTCAGACATCACAATAGAAAATAAGAATTATAAAGATTGAATAATATAACCAAACAAGCCATCATAAAATATAACTTACCTTGATAATTCTCTTCCTGACAAACCGCTAACTGCTAAGCCTGTTCGACTTCTACTCCGATTTAGTTGTGCACGTCTTTCGGCTAAAATTATTTAATATTTATCATCAATCATTTATATAAAATAGACAAAAAAGATAAATACAGTAAAAAAATTTAACCGTTTGACCGCTATGCAATAATTTAATCATATACTACGTTAAACATTTTTAATGGTCTTCAACACATGTTTGCATTAAATTATTTATCTACAAAATGTTTTAAAAAAAATGTAAATCAATGTGTTATTGAAGTTATTGGTTTTAAAGTTTTTAAACACCCAAATTTTTTGTAGCAGTTTTAGGCATTTTGATAGATAATGGTCAACCGGTTAAACTGAAAATAACAAACATGTAAAATTGAAAGTGAACAACATTTAGTTGCCAATTCTAAAATAAAATCTAAATTTTATGGCAACGCTATGTTATGGGTCAATCATTGTATTAACTGGAAGTGACAAACTGTTAAAAAGCTATGTATTTGCTGTGCAATCAGGCTTTTTACTTTATATAAATTTACTTATTATAAAATTGTTATTTTATGTTAGTACGTTTTGCAAGTTAGGTTTTATGTATAAAATGTCTGATCGCACAGCAAATACAAATCTTTTCTAACTCATACAAAGATAGACCATGGATAGACCCATAACATGACATTACCATAACATTTCTATTTTATCCAAGAAGCTTAGAATAGTATGATAAATTTTTCATCAGGCATTATTGAAACAAGCAAAGATGTTAAATAATATAATGCACATTCAAATATTAAAAATTTCTTTACCTGAACATGAATCATCCATTTCTAACAAATCTTCTATGCATGCAAAAAGTTTCAAAAATTTAATGATTTCAAAAGATCAATATTTTATTTATTTTACAAATTAAAAAAGATTGTTTACAAATTTATTGGTCAAAATCAGTAAAATTGGTGAAAGAAACCAAGAGTATGATGCAAAATAAGATGAGATGAAAACAAAGAATAATAATTGTATTTACCTCCAGCAGCTCTAGGGCCCTTTTTCCTTCTTACTTCACGACTAAAGGCAGAACCAGTTTGTAAGGCTTCTAATAAACTGTAATTAATTAAATGTTTATTAGTTGAAAAATAATATCTCAGACATATTAAATAATACTACAAATCATTAAAATCTCTGAGTAACAAACAAAAAACAGAGTAGACTCTGTTTCAAAATAAAATGGTTAAAAAGTATTTGCAGTATATATTAAAATTTTTATCATTGATTTGCAGGTTGAGAACTTACCTGTCCATAACACCTTCTTGTGCATTAATAGCATTCATATCAACAAGCTGCCTCTTGCGTTGAGCCCGCTCACTCTTTTCTTTCTCAGCTTTGTCTTTACTTTCTTTAGCCTTTCTAGCCTTTTCTTCCGCTTCCCTAGTACGTAAATTATCTTGGTGCGCTTGCTAAAAAAAGAAAAATTGAAAAATATACCTTTTATAATGTAAGCAAAAATATCATTGATTTTTCATTGCAAATGCTCACATTAAAATCATCCTTGAATGTTTTGATGTCCGTGAAGAATTCATCCAGTGAATACTTAACAGGATCAAAAGCATAGAATTCGGCAACATCCTTGTAAAGGGCTTCCATTTTCTTGTGCATGCTGATCAAGATATCAACTTGTTGTCTCGATTCGGATGAAAAAGACTACAAAAACAATATATAGTATGATAAATAAAACATAAGCCAACCACTAAATTTATTATAGATTTTTTAAACAAACAGGTCAAAATATAACAAATAATTTATAGTTTGTTGGCTACTAGCAAAGAAGTGTCTTGAATATTGTAATAAATATGTCAAAGCAATTTATATATGTTACATCTTATTCTTATTATATAATCTAGCATCTACAATTTGCAGCAAATATTTGAAATAATTTGTCAAAAATATCATATCCTAATATACCAAATTTGATATTGAAAATAAACAAATACAAATAATGCATATGTATTAAGATAAGACTCTTACCCCCATAATTTCTGTGAATCGATCATCTTCACCTTGCGGAACTTTATTATTATTTAGATCACTTTGTAAATTTTTCAGTGCATTATCCATCTGTCGTAATGTTTTTTGAACAGTATCCACACTTACTCGTGATGCCCTGAATATATCATTATCAAATGTTATTATAACACCAAAATTATTTTAGTTTTCTTTAGAAGTAAGTTTTGATATAACATAATATAAAAAATACATCATGCTTAAATCCATTTTTTTTTTCACAAATACGCTACATTACAAAAATATAACAATATAAAAAATATTCCAATCAAACATATTCAAAGATAACTCCAATTACCTATCTACGTGATCTAGTTCCTCGCCGAATGTCAATACTTCAGGAACTTCTTTTCAATTGTTTCAACTAGGTAGTGTAGAAGTGTATGTTTATTTTCTAAATCTTTTGTTGCTGACAACTAAAAATAAAATTTATTTGTATTATTCATCAAATATAAAGTTTTAAGTATGTACAACATTTTATTATTAGTACCTTAGTTAAGAAACTAATTTCAAATCCAAAAGCTTGAGCATTTCTTGTGCCACTATTCATGTAGTTTCCAAGTAATAAAACTAATTCTAAAATTTTCGAAAACTTTTTACTTGACCTTATTTCTTCACAAGCTGCAGTACCAGCCACGATATGCTAAAAATAGAAAAAAATTATCAGAATGAGAGTTTGTACTAAAACCATTGATGTAATTTACAAGAATGATCTCATATCATGTAAATGAAGTTATATAATAATCTTACATTGCCAAGAATTTTCATGAATATTTAAAATTAATTCACATAAAATATTAATGTCTACATGCAAGTAAAAATTCTTACCGGTTTACAGTCTTGAACTAGTTCATCAAATTTCAACATAAATACTAAGGAATTAAGCCTTGGCAAAAGCCTCTTGACACCAGCTAAAATTGCACAAAACCTTTCCGGTGTGCTCAGTTGTTCTTTTCGTAAATATATTTCCTCTAATTTCTTCAACTGTTCTACTGGTGGTAAATACTATAAATATTTTAAAATTGCACAAATTAAAAAAATGATAATAACTGAATAAAATATGGCAATTTAATGAAATGAAGAACTATCATTTTACCTGTATTAATTGTTGTAAGACATTCTGTGTCAAAACTTGGGTATCACATCTCAGCAGACATTTCTTCACTTCTTCATGTTTTAGATGTTTGAGTGAGCCTCCTAACAAAATCGAAATATTTTGTGCAGATTTTCCATCCAATACCCGTAAATCAACAACTGATTTCTTTGTAGCAGCAGGCCTGTTAAGAGACCAAAATGTGAAAACATAGAACCATCAAATTAATAAAATCAAGTAATATAGCAACTTAAATATGGATTTTATGGTACTCACTTGTCGCAAACGTCGTTATTTTTCGTGGGTTTTGTACTGAACCGACTTGCAAGTCCAGTTAGAATATCAGGGGAAGCGAGTTTGTCCTCTTGAACCTTTACCCAGAATGATTTAGCAGTCATCTTTTGTGGAACAATCTGAATTTGTTGGAAAAAACTTAGTAAATTGTTATAAATTAAAATTTACATTAGAATTAAGTATAATAGAATGACTAACAGTTTTCCAGTTTGCACGTTTGATTGGTCCTTGTACCTCCCACTTCTTTTTAGGTTTCAAACCATGTGGCAGAACATCTGGCTGCGGCATCTAAAAGTAGAAATTGAATACCATAGTACAAAATTAAATAACCAAGAGAAAAAAACTATAGTATAGTATATAGTAATAATAGTAATATTTAAACAAAATTAAAAATTAAAATCTTATTAATGATTTCCTCAGTTGAGAGTTAATATAATTGCTAAATGGAAAGTAATTGGTAATTGTGATAAAAAAATAGTTTACCATTGGAGCCATCATTCCAGGTGGTGGTGGAGGACCACGGCCCATACCTGGTGGCGGTGGAGGTGGAGGACCTCCCATGCCAGGCATAGGCGGAGGTGGTGGCCCACCACCTCCAGCTCCTGGCATAGGCGGTGGAGGTGGTCCACACATTCCTGAAAAAAAATTTACAAATAAACCAATATGAAACAAATTGAAGTACAATTTATTTATAATCTAAAATAATGTAAGAGAAAAAAAAACTGTTGTTACAACAGTATTTGAATGCAATAGCTTAGTTGGCGTAGATATCATTTTATTTTTTTTGTATTGTTAATAGTAAGAAAGTATAAACTAAAGATAATTAAAGGTGTAGTTACTAAAGTATAGTTTGTGAAAGTGAATGTCTTTGATTGAAGATCATCCTGAATATTGAAAGTGGAGGTTTACAGAAAAGTTTTATATTAAATATTTGCATATGTAATATTACCTGGCATAGGTGGTGGTGGTGGTCCGCCTCCGCCAGGTAATGGTGGTGGCGGTGGGGGGCCACCACCTCCAGAACCTGCACTTCCTGGCATGGGTGGCGGCGGAGGACCGAGTGATCCCATGATGGAATTCTTCGTCGAGGCACCCTAGAATAGTTTTAAATAAAAATTAACTTTGTTTTCTAGCTTCCGTATAAAAAAATACTAGCATTAAAATGTCTAAGATTATCTAAATATGTTTAGCTTTAGTTTGACAAAGCCCTTTGATCAGTTAACTGTGTGCAAGGTTTCGTGTCTTTAAAATCAAGGTAAAGTGTTGTAAGGTAAATTGTCACTGACAAGTATGTATTACACCGTGATAGCCTCAAATTATTCTAAATACCTTGAAGATGATATTTTTTTTTTTTGTTTGTTTCAAAACTAGCCTATGGTCGAAGATTTATACAAATGACTGAAGTATACTCATCAAACACAGTTGACTGCTTAATGCACAACTGTTTTCCTGCAAAATACTAAAATTTTTACGTAGTATAAAATATAATACCGAGTTTTGTAGTTTCCGCAATTGCTCCTCAAGATGTAAAACTTTAGCATCAGCTTCTTGTTTCGACTGGATAAGTTCCTCCAATTTTTGATTCAATTCCTCAGCTCGTTTTGTGTCTTCCGCTTGGGATCTTTCTATAATAGAAAAAAAAAATTAATTAATAGGAAAAACAAAGACTGAATACGAAAATTCAATGTGTATTTTAATAAATCATTACCAATTAGAGTATCTATAACTGGAGCTACATCAATATTAAATCGCTTGGTAGCCCTAAAATCAGGATCATGACCTGCTTTATGTAATACTATTTGAGTAACACATTCTTCTATCAATTTGTAATACTGTGGTCTGCAATAAAAAATAATTTAGTATACATTTATAAGCTAATGTAATAAAATATTTTGGGTAACAAATTATTACTTGGCGTAAGGATCGTCTCGTATATAAAGTAAATGTTGCAAAATTGATAAGAAAAATGGTTCAGCAGGCGAATCAATTGTTAAATTCTTTATCATTTCGAAGCACTCATTTATATCATCCAATTCCACCCTGAAAAATAGAAAATTCATATTATTAACACTCAAAAATAAATGCAAAAGTAAATTGTAAATAAAATTTAATTAATGACCAATTACCTGCATTTTGAAAGATTAAAAACCATATTGACATGTAATTTAATATTTTCATAAAAATATTCAAAGTAAACACGTAATAACGCGATAAAAAACAAAAGTATGGCATTTCAAAACTAGCATTAATCAATATTGAAAAAAATTAAAATAACACAATATACAAATCAATAAGTAACTATAAAATGCTTTGCAATAATTGTATGAGGCTTTGTCAGAGCTGAGGTATGTATACAAAAACAGCACAACATTTGTGACATAAAAACAAAAGTGATTAGAAATTATTTGTTTTCAGAATAACAATCAAAATAGCAAACAAAATTGTGCTTAGATGTAAAAATGCAATAGACCTTATATGTATAAGGTCAATGAGAAATGCACATAAATGCGTTGTTTATTATATACTACAAAAGAATTATCGGAGTGAGAAAATTTTGTAAATTCGATAATTATATACAACTTAATATTTAATTTTCAATAAAAATATTATTTAAAAAATATTTTTTCATTTCATTTTCATTTTCAAAACAATTTAAGTTCGAGTATGGATTTGAAAGAGACTACTTAAAACAAAAGGTTACAATTTTTAAACATGTTTTAGAATATATAATCAACTTATATAAAATATAAATATATTTTAAAACTTTTACAAAACTAACCTGACATTATCGAATCTAGTCACAAATTCCTCATAGTCTTCCTCCCGGTGTTGATCAAATACATTTATTTGCACAATCAGCAAATCAGAAGCATCAGCTTTTAATGTATCTAAAAAGCCATTTATTAGTATTCATGTGCTTATATTTCACTATAGTTAGTACTCATGTGGTGATATTTATAATATTATTAAAACAATTTGAACTAACCTAATATGTCTATGAGGCCCATTCTTAAAATTTCATTTCGCAAATGCAACCGAAAATCAAGATCATCCGGACTCGTAACTATGGCATTTATTAATTGTAGACACGCTACCTGTAAAAGAAAACAAAATTTAATATTGTGCATAATAAATATTAAACTGCACAATAATTCGAATATCAGTTAGGGTATGATCTCTAGTTGAAAACCAGTTAGTACTTACTACTAGCCCGAATTAGTTTATGGCGGGCCAGAAGTTCGTTCTCCTGCTGCTCTATATTCTAATTTTACGAAAAACTGTTTGTATACTCGCAAACTACGTTATTTAGAATGAGTTAGTAATTAATCAGTAAAATAGTCGCTATATTCGTCCAATAACAATCCACTTTTGGTCGTTCTAAATTATTCGTTTTGGCTTATTCTGATTATGCATATAGTCCAGCATGAAAATATAAATTCGCCAACATATAAATATATAATAATAAAAACGAACTTCAGACCAACCGATTCATAGTACCGATTACCGATTAACGTTTACGTTTTGGTAGTTATTTTGATTCATTGAAAACAACTACAACATGACTACAACTACTAACTAACTTAATATTATAATATATAAATATAGCTACTTTTGAACTCAGATTATTTAAATATATTAATGCATTAGTTCAAATGAGCCCATAATAAAAATAGTTTTATCAGTTCAAATGTAGACATCTTTGGTTTTCAATTAAGGCAACACTTTATTTATAAACAACGATATACAAAAAAAAAATTATAATGTAATTATTGAGTTAAAAAAAATTATATTTTGATCCAAAATATATTAAATTTACTATCAAAATATTTTTGGCATCGGAATTAAATTGGAAAACATTACATTTTACATTAATACGTTTCAATAATTATTGAGAGTAAAGTAAGGACGTTAAAAATCAAAAACATCCGTCTTATCTATTATAACATTCAATTAAGAAAATTCAATTCAAAAATAAAACTAGTTGTAAGAAGCATTTTGCCTTAGGGCAAGTTGCATTTCGGATTCTCAATCGATTCAGAATGACTTAAACTCTGAGAAAACATAAAATTAGTAAATCCGATTTTTTTTAGAATAAACTTCTTCGGGAAGTTAAAGATAATAAAATGTTACGCTCTATAGACATACTCCAAAAAAATATTTATTTTATTCATGGGAAAATTCTGCCGTAGCTCATAAAATAGCGTTGTCTATGCAACGCACTCTTGTGCTCGTTCTCAATAGTGAAAAATTATGAAAATGTCTATTTGGAAGAATCTTATGATAACAGATTCTTCATTATCATAACATTCTGTCTTGCTTTATTTATATGTAAAATACGCGTGATCGCACAGCAAATAGATGAACATTTTCATAATTTTCACTACCAAGAACAAGCGTGAAATAGCGTTGCCATGACAACGCTACTTTATGAGCTCTGTTAAAGCAGAATTGCCCCATCAATTTTATTATGACAACATTATTTTATCAGAATTATTATATAAATTACAGTGGGTACCTCGCCTTACGAGCGACTCGTCATACTGGACTTTCAAAGTACGAGCCGCCAAAGAAGCAGCTCGTTTATTTCGTCATACCAGCAAAATTCGAGGTACGAGCCTCCAAAGAAACGATTTGATTTGAAAAATTCGATTGTAACAATGATTTTGTATGTGAAGACGCACTGAACTATCATACAAATATTTGAAGTAAATTATTTTAAAGTTAAAAACTTCAATTCATTAATATTAATGTTGTGCATTCTTTCGTGCAATTTAGGTTCACTCCCCGACAAAGGACAAAAATCACCCGGAAAAAGATGCAACTGGTCGAGCATGAGAATTGTTTGATGGAGACTTCTAACTCATTTTCGCAATACTATAAGTCAAAGAAAAAAATAATTTTCATATTAAAGAACCGATTCTACCGCATAACAGAAAAATGTTATGGCAAGACCATGTTACGCTCCAACTTTCATACATTATGTACGGAATTATACTAAAGACTGCCAAAATGTCATGTATTTGGTGTGCATTCAGGCGTTTTACACATAAACTGCAACGTCACTCGTATGTTATGAAGCTAGGTCAGAAAGGCCCTGTTATCTAAGATCGTTTTTTTGACATTTGCGCGGTTTCTAAGTTGGGTTTTCTATTGACAACCTGAGAAATATGCTTGACTGCACACAACCATATAGCTTTTGTCAATATTTAGTATGAAAATTCTTCATAACATAGCCTTGCCATATGCGTTATGCGGCAGAATTGGTCCCTTAGTCATTTTTTATTTAGTAATTTGCTATGTTTTTGCAGAATACGTATTTGATATTAGGAATAAATTTTAATTTATTTTCATTATAAGAAAAACACTGTACTGCATTTATATGAAAACTGCTTCGAGATACGAGCAATTCGACATGCGTGTGTGGTTTCAGAATGGCTTACAAGATAGTATTATATAAATCAAAATCCGTTATGTTATTAAACTCCGTTATTACATTCATTTTAAGTCATCAACTAATGATCATCTTACCCTTAATGACTCGTGTTTCCTCATGGACAACGCTTTAACAACCGGCAAGAATCTGCAGGCTCCCGTGGCTTCCGCGTGCATCGTGATGGCCTCCAACACTTTTTCGTGACCGTCCGGCGGTATGAGACATGTGGCGGCTAACACCTTCACTGCTTCGCACATGACCTGCGAAAATAGAAAATAATATCAAAATTAATAATGAGGATCATAATACTGCAGAGATAAAAAAAATCGCATGAACTTTTGATTAAAATTAACTAGAAACTAATTATAAAGGCCATCATAGCAATAGTTCATAGCTACGATAATCATAAGCTGCATGAACTTTCCGATACGTATATCTAAAATATAGAATTGTGATTCAGCTATTTGGGTAATGAAATTGTTTATTTTGAAAGTAACATTTTCGCTTTACTAAACAATTATCGATACGATTTCCTATTGATGTCTCAAACATTCTCATAATATCAGTAACAGTAATTAGTAGCTACCTATGAAACACCAGCGAATGTATGTGATTCAGCAAATCAGTTTTTAGTTTCACATAATTCTAGAGAAGTAAAAATTACAAGTGAAAGAAGAGGAAAAAAATTAATGATCGTTTTTCTTTGATAACAATTTCAAGAAAAAAAAAACAAAACAAAGTAGTAAAAGTAATGTAATAAGTCATGTTTTACTTCTGCATGGATTTACTTATGGGGCAATTCTGCCCTAACAGAGCTCATAAAATAGCATTGTCATGGCAACGCTCTCTTTATGATTGTTCTTTGTAGTATAGTTATGAAAATATTTATCTATTTTCCGTGCGATCAGGAGTATTTTACATATAAACAAGCAAGAATTCTGTTATCATAACATTATTCCTTGCTTGTTTATATGTAAAATACACCTGATCACACGGCATACAGATTGACATTTTCATAATTTTCAATACAAAGAACAAGCATAAGAGAGCGTTATCATGACAACGCTATGTCATGAGCTCTGTTACGGCAGAATTGCCCCATTAGTATTTATCACAAATTATTAGTAATATAAAAATTATAACATTTACCTGAGGTTTACGCGTATCTAAACTTCTAGCGACGATGGGCAGCGTATCAGCTTGTGCAAAAACCTCTTTTATTCCTACTGTATTGTTCATAATAGCCGAAATACATCTTATACATTCATATTGTACTCTATCATAAGAACTATCACTGAAAAAAAAATAAGAACTACTTATAGAGACAAGCATAAATGAATAACACACTAACAATGACGATTCCGAACAAAATTTGTTTAGAGAGATTTCAGATAATATAGTAAAAAAAATTAATTCGCTACGAGCGTCGTCTATAGACGACATTCCCATGATGACCAGTGTTAATATAACATAATAGTTTAATTAAAAAAATGATGCATTAGAAAATAATATTTAATTAGAAAGATATTAAGTGAAATTGGCTTTCATATTTTCCAAATAAGTACTGATCATCCCACATTATAGAAAAATATCAGTAAATAGAGTTCAACAAATTTATAGAAGCAATTAAAAATATGTATAATCTCATAACTGTGTTTTCAAAATATTTATAGTTTGATCTATCAACATTAAGACGCTAATTATTATTAGTAGTACGGAACTATTTCAATATACAAACACACTTTTTCCTGTAGCATTCGTTCAGCGTTTCAAGCAGCTGTTGCAAACCTTTTGTTCCGAAGTCTTGTACCCAGCTTAAGGGATTGTTCGTCAGAGCGATTCTTAAACTTTCAACGCACGCATGCGTTTTATTCAGACTTAATTCTGGTTGTGCTAAATAATTTATATAATCGTGAGCTTTGTCGAATTTGGAATGTGGACGGTATTCCTGTAATAATTAAAATAGTTAAAAATTATATGAAATTATTAAAAAAAAATCAGTAAATATATATGTATTTCATACTTACATCTGAAGCACCTTTCAAGTGCATTACCAACATTTTGCGTTTGTAATCGTCGGGCATATTTAACAGCGGAGTCTTTTTGGCCTCTGATAAATTCATATCATTCTGAAAAAAAAAGGAATAATTAATATGTAACATTTTTAAGAATTTTAAAATTAGATCACATAAATTAAAACATAAATAAATTACGAAAAACTAATAATCCATTTTTGATCCTTGATAAATCATGACATTCTAAAAAAAATAATATGTGACTTTAGTAATAGACGTAGATCTCGTAAGGGGGCATCTATTAATCACGTGAGCCTTGCAAAGGGTGGAGAAGTTTAACAAAAAAAAAAACAAAGTATCACGTGAGGGGAGGGGGGATCTAGTAAAATATCGCGTGCAATTGTTTTTTACCCGAATTTAAAAAATAATCGTAATTTAAAAAAAAAAAAAATAAAAAACTTTTTTCTATGTACTTAAAATACATGCGATGATGGGGGAGGAAAGTAATTTTAAAATCACGACACATCATCAAGGGAGATGAACGAACCAAAAACTTTTTAAAAGTCGGTCACGTGATTACCTCCTCCAAATTTAAATAAATTGATAAAGAGCAATTACGTGTATATTAAAAATGAAATATTTTTCGTTTCATTCATTATTCATATCATTAAATCAGAAATCTTCAATAATAAAACTTTTCAAAAATCATTGAAGGAAAAAATACAAAAAAGATAAATAATTGATTCTAGTTCAATGAAGTTTATAAAAATATTTGAATATTTTATTTATTATTAACTTCCTATTGATGGGAAGACGTGCTGATCAGTTTTTGGCAAAGGCAGATCTGGCCGTTTCGAAGATACGGGGATAAAATGACAATCCAATTTTTGGAGAGTACGGAGCGTCCGACGTGAATTTCAAGAAACATTTCACTTGTATGATGTATACAATGAAGAACTGATTAAATTCTTGAAAATGACCGACTGGAAGGCAGGTCCAGCTGTTTCGGAGATCCCCGGAGTTCCAGAAAAAAGTTGAAAAAATGCCATTTGGTTGCCAAAAATAATAATTAGATATATGCTCACCAAATAATCAGATATTTTATAGAAATTTTAGTAATAAGAACAATATTTATTTCCTGGTCTATAGGTTCCGTACCAATATTTACAATAATTGAAGTTAACTTATATAGTTCAAACAAATGACTTCGACATTTTCGACAGTTAATATCAACCAACTTTTCAAAAATTTCAACAACGTTCGAAAAAATTATTTTTTTCAAAATTTTCCACAAAACTTGAAGCTTTGAAAAATTTTTAGTTATGGTATGGAAAGTTACAGCAATGGGCTGGCAATATGCCATACACCACTAATTTATATAAAAGTTGATTGAACTTGGCAGCAGACTGATTGGAACTCATATATCCACATTATCCCAAATCAAATAACCTGAACCACCCGAGGCTCCTATAATTAAATCCAACTGTAATACAATCAAACTCACCAGAAGTGCCTCGAAGCGAACCTCCAGTTCTTTCTGACTGAGGGCTGCTATCTCGGCGGATCTATTACTGTGTCCACCCTCGTTGTGATTGCTCGTGGCGCCTCCGTAGCCGCCGGCCTTATCGCCTCCTGCATTTGCGACTCCCCCTGGACCTGCTCCACCGTGGAAACCATTGCCACCGCCGGGCAGCCCCAAATCCGAGTGAGGCCGAGGGGAGTTGTTTGCTCCTTTACGAGGACGTCCGAACAGAGTGTCCAGCTGAGGGATAAAAGAAACAGGTTAATTGGTAAGAAATAAAATGAACTATTTTTATTAATTTAAGGTAAATAATTTCCAGTGTATTTATTTATTCATAACTAGCAAACCCGACGAACTCCGTTTCGCCACCAGATGGTTTCATGAGAAAGATGAAGAATATTTTTGTTTGTTTTATATTTGAAAAGGAAAAAATTGATTTTATTGCACAGCAGTAATGAATTTATTTCGATTACAAAAATGGAGTGTTTTTTAGTTGAACTTCTCTAAGTAAATGAAAGTGAATCCGCAAATTATCCGTTTCACTGAAGTGCTCTTTGGTAAACCACATTTTTTGTTTTTTGGTCTGACGTTAACACAAACAAAGCGGATGGTTTTCCAACTCGTGAGCAGGCAACGTGTAACTGCCCATGTGAAAAACAATGATTTTCTTAATGGCACGATGCCATGCACCTAATTTTCTTAGCTATAAACCATGCGGAGCCCGAGACCTTTCCAACGAATGCAAAATTGTCGAAATCGGTTTGTGCCTTCTAGAGTTAAATTGTCAGGAAGGAAAACCCGACTTATTTATATATATATGTAGATAATGAATTTATCAATAATAATATTTCAGGCTCTTGTCAAGCTTTATGCGTGGCTACCCAATGGTTGTCCTATCTACTGATTATGATTATTAGAAATTCTAATACTGATGACCTTTTATTAAGTAATGCCATAGAAGAGCTATTTTCAATTGGAAACGTTTAAATAAATTTGAAGTTGGATGTGATTCAATAAAGAAATAGAGATATTTGGAGAAATATTTTTATCGTTTACGACCATGATAATATAAATAGCAATCTTTGTAAATCTGTCGGAATACAATATAATATTCGTATCATGTACATATTATGCATAGTATTTTTTTTGTTATTATATTAACAGAAATCAGAATCTAACGAATCCTAATAAAGAGGCTTTGTAGATGGCAACCCATCGATTGTCATATCTACATTTGATATATTTATCATTAGAAACTCTAATACTGATGACTTTATAGGGTGCAGCAATGTTGGGAAGAAGCTATTTTCATTTGGAAATATAATGCTATTAATAAGTAAAATATAAGTTTTCAAGTTTTCAAAATTCAGAAATTCAAGTATGTTATCAAAGTATAAATACTAACTTCTAAAACATCAGAGCAAATGCAATTACTGAATATTTTTCTTCTTAATGATTTGGCTTCATAGATAGCAACTCAGTGGTTGTTCTATCTCTATATGATATATTTATTATTAGAAACTCTAATACTGATGACTTTTTATTGGATGCAGCATTGCAGAGGAAAAGCTATTTTCACTTTTCACTTCACATATTGCTATTTGTATGTGAAATTGAAGGAAGACTTTGAAAATTCAGAAAATAGAGTGTATATATAAGTACAAAAACCATGAAACAAATTCAATTATTGAAGATTTTTGTATTTAATATACGATTTTGAGGTAATTTTCTCTTTAGTAATATTAGTTATTCACCTTATCTTATAGTAGATATTTTCAAGATCTCTATCCTTAGAAATTTTTTTTAAGAGCAGATATTTTTTACATAAATATAAAAAATAGCATAAGAAATGATAAAATATTAAAAATATTACATATATTAGGTTGTCAAATATCTCCCTTCCACTTTTTGCTCTTGGTTTATAATACAAAAAGGCGGAAGGGAGATATTTGACAACCTAATATGTACATATCATTGAAGATATTGCATATTACAAAATTATTAAAAATACTTATAGATTATCAAAAATATGAAACTTATAACTAATTTTTAATGAAAGAAAAAACAGCTAAGAAACTTGAAAAGAAAAAATCGCCATGACTTACAATCATTGATTTATATAATAATATTTGATTTAGACATATATAGCACCTACGTACCGATTCAAACAAATAGTTTGTTTAATAATTCAGTAATCAAATAAATACAACGCAAAAATAAAAGGTAGATGATATCACCTTCTGAGAATGTAGTACGTAATGATCGAAACCAATAGAAATTAACAATATTCATATATATTTCTGTATTACAACAAAACTAGGTATATATCGTTATATAGACATTTTATGATTTTAACCTCTATATCGCAGTCGATAATTATTTTTTTTAGTCTTTTAAAATATTGAATGGCTCAGGAATAAATTTATCAACAAAACAAAAGCACATTCAAATGAGAAGCAGTCCAAAGTCGAAAATATGAATTTATAATATTTTAAATGAATCAAAATGTATTGATTGAATTTGTATATAAATATAATTAAAGCTCGAAGTTTCAATTCTTGGTCTACTATAACAATTATTTATAATTAGCATGGATCAAAGATTTATTCTTCTGACAGGATAGTGTAAATATTAAGAAATTAATGAAGTGGCGAAAGCATATTTATATCCCAATCATTATATAATAGATGTTGAATAAACAAACAAATCAGAAATAACAGTTCCAATATATAATATGTATTCGTTTCCACGAATATTATTATTAAATGCATCATTGTCTATTTTAATAAGTGCATTGTAATAAATGGACGGGGTCGCTGATATCTGGCAACCTGATTTCATGTAGCAGCAATGTCCATTTTCACTTGAAAATATAGATCAAAAATATGTTTCCAACTTCGGGCACTGTGGTGTAAAATGGCAATCGTAAACCTTTCACACTATTCTTCTCTGAATCGAGATGGAATTTAGCTCAGAACCTGTCTTTGGGAAGTACTATCTATTGTTTATTTATTGTGATAAATAATATAAAAAATAATATGCTGCTTATATTCATATTTTTAGAAAGCTTATATTCCCTCATTATCGATTTTATTTCTCAATTATGAATTAATTAAACATTTCCAACTCACAACAAATAGAGTCCAAGGAAAAGCGACTCTATTGCAAAATTTACATGCCTCAGGATCAACCTTCGATACGCTTTTCCATGTTTTGTAATAGCAGTACAAATTACTGAAAAATCTTCGTGTTTTACGAATGCTGATTTTCCTTAAAATGTGTGTCATAGAAAACTTTTATAAAAACACAAATGCGTAATAAAATTATCAGAAAATTATGTTATAATCAAACACAGAACAATAAGAATGCAAAACAATAAAAGTACGAAAGCGTTTAGTACAAATGATTAATAGAGAAAAACAAATGACGATTCTTGCAAAGGAATTGTATTGGATTGAGTCACGGTTTTGGTAAGAAATTGCTATTGCCTATTTGATTTTGTATAATGCAAAATTTATAATTGCAAATGCCTAATGTTTGGTTTCGCCAAGCTGTAATAATAATCAGCTAATAAATTACATTTGAAGAACGATTATATATAATCTTATTTTTGTTGCCTTGAAAAATTTAATTTAATTAATATAAACTTCAATATTTTATTAATAATGGACAAGATTAATGGTATTCAGAGTTTCATACTAAATGAATTATTTGTGCACTAAAGGTTTCTCAGACATACCAATTACCATAAAATTTTACATTGTTATTAATATGGATCTATATAATATTATCATTTATATCATACTGATACTTTTTCTATTTTTTAAACCTGCCTGTTCCTGCTAATTTCCGAAACGCATGGACCAATAATAACGGACTTTTATAAAGTCAAATCTCTTTGAAAAAATAAGGAAGACCAGAAGCGTTCTTATATTAGTCCAACAAAAACGTATACCAAACACGCATATAGAAATTTGAAATAGAAATTTTTTAATAAAAATTTTTGGGAATCAATCTAAGTACAAAATTAGACTTGAATATAATCCGAGTCAACTTGTAAAAGGCCTGCTTTCATCAAATATATCCAGAAGACTCAAAAGAATTAAACCTTTACATTTAGCAAATTCAAATGTAATGTAGAATAATTATTTTAAAGTCTCATATCTATACATTTGTCACCAATATTACTGAATGCCTACCAGGCAGATTGTAATTATATGGAAATAAAAAATGAATATTATTTTGCAAGGTTTGTATTCAACCAAAAATATTGTTTAATGAATTTTGATATTTTTAAGTAATTGAAACTCAACTATAGACCTATACGGAACACATGTATTCTAAGGTCTATGACTACAAATCCTATTACACTTTTTGCAAGCTCTATTCTCTCCTGTTCTCCCCTAAAATTATAGCTCTATTTTGTTTTGTCTATATACCCTGATTTATAGATGAAATATATCAACAAAGTATTTCGAACATTTATAGAAAATGCACCCGTCTTTCACTTACATTACTTTTGGCAAAATATAGATGTCTAAAATTAGTAAACTACAATAATCTTTAATTTTAGAATCTCAATTTAAAACTCCTTGCGTCAATATCGTCAACATTGATGACACTTGTTGAGAGAAATTTAGCTCGTGATATTCCAAACAAAAATAAAACATATGCAAAAAATTCAAATATCGACGAAAGATATTTTTTACGAAATATTTTACTAAAGACAAATATATAACTATGTCATTGAAACAAATTGAAATAAATATCATTTGAGGTGTCATTAACGCACCTACACGATTTTATTATGTAAATTATCAACAAAAATATACGACAAAAAATTATCGGATTAGTCATCATTGATACTGAATAAAAATGTACAATTTTTTATGGAGTTCTGATTCATAAATATTCGTACACAGAAAACTATTTCGTATATAAAATATATTATACATTCTGTTTAAGTCAATTATGTCCCAAAGAAGTAAAATATTTAAAATATTTAAATTATTTAAAACATATGGCTTGGCCAAATTGAATAATCGAATTGTTCTTAAATACAATTTCAAAGTTGAATTTTTTGTATTAAAATATGTGTGTTGAGCAAAGGAATTATAATTTATTTTGTATAGGAAATAGACTATAAATATATAAATAGATACACATATTAATATGTAGTACTAAAAATAAGTTTTCAACAATTGCATATAGCAATACACTAAATTCAATTAAAAAGAACA